GACAAACCAGAACAACAACAAAAAATAATTCATAAACGTCTACCAAATTCCCCAGAGGAGGAACCTGGGTCTCAATCTCAATGTACCCTTTGAAATATGCCTTGTAGAGACTCAAATTCCTATACAGATCAATAATAAGGATGACAATGATTTATGGATAACTATCCAAAGGAGACCTGTACCCAGCTTTAGCAACTCCAAACTCTAGCTTCCCAAGAAACCAATCTTAGTTACTATATCCAATAGCTGGCTACAGGCCGATGCGGGAACATTGCATCCTCTAGAGATAAAGTAAAATCCAATATCCAAATTGTAACATTGACATTTTGTGGAGTAGGAATAAAATACTCAGATAACCAACTTTTGATATTCTTTCAATGAGAAAATAATTCTCTACTTAGTCTGGTGTTATGACAAAAAGAAATATAGTTCAGGAATAAAGATTCTGATTATTCACCCAGACATACAAGACAGAAATCTAAGACTTCATCCTCTTCTTAACATTCCTTCTACCATCATCTAATCAGGACCAAATTCTATCAATCCAGTTTCTGTAGTGTCTCTCAAAATATTTTCCCCACCTGTCTATTTCTGTATCTGTAATTTATTCAGTCATAGATTATTGTCAAATCTTCCTAAACTATCTCCCTTTTTTTTCTAGATTAGCACATCCCTCAATCCATTCTTCCCCACCACTGCCAAAATGATCTTTCTAAAGTATAAATATGCTATTCTCCCTGTCCAAATTCCTTCGAAAGTTATTCCCTATAGTTCTGAAGTTAGAAAACAAATTATTTGGTTTAGGATATTAGAACCTTCATGAACTTACTCATGCCTACATATCTAGCTTTATGCTACAGTACTTTCAACTATTTCTACACTGCTAAATCTAATGGGCAATTCTCAATCCTTATCATACTACTATGCTCAACAATAAAGGCCATAACTGACTACTTTTTTGTTTTCAACATAGTCTCTTCCTTTAGTTTACCACACATTCCTGGTCTTGTTCTTTCTAGATACTCAGTCTCTATCACCTTTCATTTAAATATTTAAATTTTGAAAACAAACAATGGTGTGTATAATTCTAAGATAGTCCCCAGGATTGCCATCCTGCACTATACATGCCTTGTATAACACCCTGGAGTGCAGGCCAGACATGTGAATATAATGGTGTAGTCACTCCTGTGATTAGATTACATAAGAGAGCTGAGGAGATACCTAAGCAAAGTGATGAAGGTGCTGCCTGATTTCTTCTAACTATTAATAGTAAAATGCACAAAGAGAGCAATAAATTGAAGGAAGAGCTATTAAACCAAAAAGAGTAAGAATTGAATAATTTTTATTATTCTCTGCCTGTCCTAATGGTGTAACCTGACCCTGTTGAGAGTCCAGGTGGCCGCTAGAAGCAGGCTTCAATTGAGCTCCTATGAAATGCTGTATAGGACACCTTTCCTTAATGCAGCCTAGGGATGTAGTGCTTCGGAATATCCTTAAGTAGTCCAGGAATTTAGTGTTTCCAGGTATCTTAGGTAACAGTTCTAATTGTAAGGTCAGCTTAAACACTTTTACATCCTGGCTCCCCATTCCCTACTCCATTTCTATTTCAGTCTCCTGGGCCAGGCGTGAGGCCTGCTTGCATTTCAGTGGTTATTGGCGTGTGTTCTGCTTATACAAGGCAATTTCCTTTGCTTCCCTTGGTACCTAAGCAACTTTTATTAGCCATTCTCTTTTCCCTCCTAAATCTGAGGGGGAGAGCAAAGCTGGCAAGTAGCACTGGTGCCCAGAAGTTGGAAGCCATCAGTGGGTGTACAGTGTTTACAGGGAAGTTATTAATTGGATTGAAGGGAAAACCTCTGAGTGTGTGAAAGTGCCTGGCAGCAGGAGAAAACCAATAAAGCTTCTGGTGGCAGTATAACAGAAGGGTCCTGGAGACCATCTGCCTGACTTCAAATCTTGGCTCTGCTAGCTTTTGTTTTGGGTCAAGGGGTTTTACTTTCAGGTGGCTCAGTTTCCTTACCTGCAAAATAGCAGTAAACAACAGTGCCCATTTTTTAGGGTTATTGTGAAGATTAAACAAGATAAACTGAGCTAATCATTCCTTGCCTGTTCCTAGGTCCCTAAAACTCCACCACATGTCAGCAGGAAGTAGCCAGAGGAGTCGCTGACCCTTATCCCTTAAGATTAAGAAATTGCTACAACCCAAGGGGGGATTGTAACCTGACCCTACGAATATCAGTAAATTTCTATTAGTTATTAAACTAGCCTAAGCCAGATCTGGCTCACCCTGCATGTGCAGAAGGTCCAGCTGTGACCACTAATTGACCTCAACAGCGGACGCAGCAACATGTGGAATGACTCAGAAAAAAAATCATCACCCAGACCCTATTCCAAAGTAAGAGGTCCGACAAGAACCGTGTCACCTCCTGTTTCCTAGCTGCTTTCTAAAATTTTCCCTCCCCAGTATGCCTGTGCGGCCGCCATCTTGCTCCCAAATCACAGATAAGCCCTGCTTCCCCATAGCTTGGGAAGCTGGATCTGAGGAACTTCCTCTCGGCTCCTTGCTCTGCTCATTGCAATAAAGTTACTTTCTCTTTCTCAAAGACCGATGTCCAGATTATTGGCAAGTTTGAGCGTGCCAGATAAGGACCCACTTTCCCGGGTTTGGTAACAATGGCAAAAGATGCTTAATGTCAGAAAATGACTGCCATACAGTATGTAACTGTACTTTTTGCTAAAACCTCAGAAAGATCAAAATGTCAGACTATTTAATTACACAAATGGTCGTTTCAAGAGATTAAAGGTGTGCAAAGACCATCTCAACGAAACCAAAGGGCCTGTAGGAAGCTTAAGAGCATTGTCCTTCAGCCATTTCAGTAGGAGGCCAAGATAGAAAACATATTAGGTCAAAGAGATCTGTGGATATGACTTTTGTCTAGTGGAGTGAATCCCTGAGAAATTCATGGAAGTCCCACAAAATTCTTAAGAAAATTATTTCAGGCGAAACACTACTAACTTAAGACTGAAAGGAACTGAGAAAGTACTAAATAAAAGGAGGCTGTTGGGTCCTCAAAATTCTACTGGCAGGAAGCAGGCTGATAAAACTATTCAGCTGAAAACTCATGTTACCTTTCAAGAAAAAAGGAAGAAAAGATTCAAAGGGCAGAATCAAGAGCCAGAGAGCAGAGCTGAGAGCCAAAAAGAATTATTCTCAGGTCCTGAAACCTAATTGAGGACTGCTTTTTACCTTCTGTTTTCCCACTTTTAAACCAGAATGCCTATAACTTTTCCCTTCAGTTTTACAAGATCACAGATGGAGAAAAATTATACCTCAACAGCTGTACTTGATGAATTACATATTGAAGCCTCATCCAAATCTAGAACTGACTTTGGACTTCTAGTTCATGAGATTTAGATGAATTTTGGACTTTGATATGATAAGATTATGAGATTTAGGTTCTGATGAGATTTTGGACTTTGATACTATAATGAGATGAGACTTTGGGTATCCTTGGGAGAGACAGTGAATGTATTTTGCACTTGGGAAGGACGTTAATAGTTGGTGATCAGAGGATGGACTACAGTAGGTAGATTTCTAACATGGCTGTCTTAGTCATCTAGTGCTGCTACAACAGAAATACCACAATGGATGGCTTTAACAAACAGAAATTTATTTCTTCACGGTAAAGTAGGCTAAAAGTCCAAATTCAAGGCGTCAGCTCCAGGGAAAGTCTTTCTCTTTCTGTCGGCCTTCTCCTCAGTGTTCCCCCAGACTAGGAGCTTCTCTGCGCAGGGACCCCAGGTCCAAAGGACATGCTCTGCTCCTGGCACTGCTTTCTTGGTGCTATGAGGTCCCCCTGTCTTTCTGCTCACTTCTCTCTTTTATATCTCAAGAGATTGCCTCAGGACACAATTCAGTCTTACAGATTTGAGTCCTGCCTTACTAACACAACTGCCACCTATCCTCCCTCATTAACGTCATAGAGGCAGAATTTACAACATATGGGAAAATCACACAATACCAGGAATCATGGCCCAGCCAAATTGATACACACATTTTTTGGGGGACATAATTCAATCCATGACAAGGGCTAACAAAATTCCTGCCTCCCTGTTGTACACACCCTGTGTAATCTCCTTCCTTTCAGCGTGGGTGGATTTGTGAAAATGATGAGATAGTACCTCTTTTGATCAGGTTAAACTACATGGGAAAATGATGGGATAGCCATTGTCATAGTTACATGATGTCACATAAGACTAATTGAGCAGATTGCAGAGATTCTCCTGTTATCCTTGAATAAGCAAGCTGCCATGTTGTGGTAGCACCACATGGCTAGGTTCTGAGGTCAATTTATAGGAGCTGACCCCAGCTGACAGCCAGCAAGAAAATAAGCAACTCAGTCTACATACTGCAAGGAAGTGAATTCTTCAAACATCCTGGATTAATTTAGAAGAGGATCCTGAGCCTCAGATAAGATTGCAGTCCGGGTTGACACCTTGATTTTAAGCTGATGAGACCCTGAGCAGAGGACTCAGCTAACCTTTGACTGGACTCCTTAACCAATATAAACTTCGAGACAATAAATTTGTGTTATTTTAACCTATTAACTTTGTGGTGATCTGTTACACAGCACAGAAAAGTAATATACTAACACAAACAAATTAGCAGAATTAGTTTTAGTAACTTTCTGCAACTTTCAATAACTCTATCCCAATTGGTCTCACCCAGTAGTTAGAATATTTTCAGACTTTTAAAATGTATTTAAAACTAAAATATCCTTAAAATAAACACATTTTTTGGGGGGGCATACAACAGTATTGCAGATGACAATATAAGTTTAAAACTCCTTAAGTGATACCAGAATGCCAAACTAATGGGGATTTATCATATAACTCCAAGAAGTGAAAGGAAAATCTGAATAATTAATAATGCTATATACCATGTATGGGTATAGATGTATATGTACATATATTTATTCATAGAAGCAAAAGGGACTTACTCTGAAAGCTGTTCACTGAGAAGATTTGAGGATGATAGAATCCTGTTTTGCAAATGCACCGATAGGCTCCAAGCACAAATCCTTGGCCTTTAATTGGCATACACTATGAAAAAGAAAAGACAACAATATAGTCAATCACAGTTTACTTCACAGTATAAAGACTCAGAGATATCCGTTATTATAAATGGTGACAGAACTAACACTTTTCCAGAAATAAAACATTTTTTTCATCTTTATTTTAGGCTTTTTTTTTTTTTTTTGGTCATAGACAAAGAGACAGTCGTTGGAACAGAACAAGAGGATGCTGTGTGGTTTAAAATCAGGAAATGTGTGAGTCAGGGTTGTATACTTTTGGTCATAGACATTTTCTTAGAAGAATCAAACTGAGTTTCTTTTCTCATGATTGGAACTGTAGTGGCAATAAATCTTCAACTCATTCATTGCCATAAGGGAGTAATTACTAGACAGCGTTTCTTTTTTTTAATACCTCACATATAATCATATAGCTTTAAAAGATATTTCCAGAGTCTATAAGAATATTCTAAGACAGAATCCATACTAAATATTTCTATCAAAGCAAAGATAGGTAAGTAGGAGGTAGGTAAGTATGTAGGTATGTGGGTGGATGGAGGGGTGGATAAACGGATGGATAGACAGAATTTGAGATGTGAAAATTACTTTTGTAAGTTAAATATTAATTGAATTTCATCCTCAAAACATATAACACAAACTGATGGGATAACAAAACAAGTACATTTTAAAATGTAAATCTAGAAGAGATTTTAAAAAAAGATAAAATTAATTATCACAAGGGCTCTTTACCTAAAGTCTGTTTCATAAAAAAAGTTCTTTATGTACATAAAATGAAGAAAAACAAATATTTCACACAAATAGACATCTCCCAAAACTTAATTTTAGCTGGTTAAGCAGTGGTTAAAGTGCTCAGCTGCTAACCAAAAGGTCAGCGGTTCTAACCTACCAGCCACTCCATGGGAGAGAGATGTGGCAGTCTACTTCTGTAAAGACTTACAGCCTTGGAAACCCTATGGGGCAATTCTACTCTGTCCTATAGTCAGGATCTACTGGAAGGTAGTGGATTTGTTTTTCTGATATCAATGATCTCACTTAACTGTAGTGAAATTCAGCTTAACATTTCTCATTTCTGCTATGTGCAATTACATAAACATAAGCAAGGGATAACTTCAATTACAAAAATTACACGAGTACACAGGGTCCTTTCAAGAATTTAATCAAAGCTGAAATTTCTAATATCACTCTATCAAGATCCCAATCCTTTGTCTTTTTGCCTTTATAATCCATTAGAGGAGCTTAGAATCTAGTGGATTTAAAATTTATAGTGTTTCTCTGATACACACGCCCTTGGAAGAAAAGTCTAAATAATTTAAATAACAATTCCACAATCTAAGCTTAAATGATTAGCAACAAAATCAATATGAAATATCATGAAAACTCTAATAAAAACATATTTATATGCAAGTTAGCAAGAGCTAATAATGTTCAATCTTCACAGAGATGTAGCAAGAAAATCTGTGAAAAAGAGCTTTCTAAAAGACCTTCTTAAATATTTTATTTCATTAACAGCCATTTTTCTCCCTCTACACACACTTACATCCAATTACATATTACAATTGAAAACACAGTACTTGACCCAGAGTGAAATAGAAGGGTGAGTACCAATCAATTCAACTGATTGGCAAGTATTCATGAAATAACTACTGTGTGTCCAGGGAACTCCTACAGAACCTCATTGAGATAACATATATTCTTATAAAGATCTAGTTATACAATAGATCAAATCATATTGCTGAAATATATAAATAAAAAAGTAGTTATTACTTTGGAGAAGCATTGGTATTATGGAAAGAGTGCACGATTCATGATCAGTTGGAAAATCTGAATTTGAATTCTGACTTTATCATTTAGTAGTTATGTGAATTTGGTCTGTTTCTTGACCTCTCTGAGCCTTGTTTATTTTAATTTGTAAAATAAGAATAATCATTTAGTCAGTTTCTGATACAGTTTGGAGGAGGTAGAGTCAACAAGATTCCCTAATGAGTTAAATATGGGATATAAGAGGAAGAGAAGAATAAAAGACATTTCAAGGTTTTTGGCCTGAGCAATCAAAGAATCGAAATGCCATCAACTGATCTGAGAAAGGCTGCAAGTCAAGTAGATTTGAGGGAAAGATCAGAAGTGCAGTTGAGAAGCACTTACTGATAAAGATCAAAGATGATGGCCTTCAGCATAGACCAAACCTCAACATAAATAAAACAAAAGTCCTCACAACTGGACCAATAAGCAACATCATGATAAATGGAGAAAAGATTGAAGTTGTAAAGTATTTCATTTTGCTTGGATCCACACTCAACACCCATGGAAGCGGCAGTCAAGAAATCAAAGGACACATCGCATTGGGCAAATCTGATGCAAAAGACCTCTTTAAAGTGTTGAAAAGCAGGTGGGGCCAAGATGGTGGAGTAGTCAGATGGCTTCCTATATTCCTCTTACAACAAAGACCTGGAGAAACAAGTGATTTGATTGTATATGAATATCTAGAAGCCCTGAACAAGGCAAAGTTGAGGAATTGGACTGAGCGGTGTGGGGAGAGGGAGACAGTTCAGAAGAAGTGAGGAGTGCCAGACTGGACTCGGCTGGAGCCACAGCTCTTCAGCCCCGACTGGCTCGGAGGTGCACGGTGAAGCAGCCATAGAGTTCTGTGCATGTGCTCGGGAGGCAGTTTCCGCATCGAGAGAGATCCAGCAGCAGAGATTCTGCTTGGACACTTCAAACCAGTGAAAAGCAGCTCCCAAGTGGTTAAAGACAAGCACGGGCATGTGGCCTTTTGCAGGGATTAAAAAAAAAAAACCATTTGGGAAAAACCTCTCTCCCTTTTACCTCCTCCCTCCGCGCTCTGCACTGGTCTGGCCAGTTTCCGAAATCTCTGAGTCCTCTGGGCAAGAAGCAGATCCCAAAAGGTGCACTGACTCATTCTCCTAGCCTTGGCGAGGGAACAAACAAGCTACTGGCTCCCCTAAGCCAGGAACTCAGGGTTGGCACAGCTCCTTTGCCAGGCACAGGCAAAAGGCGTCAGCAGACTTTGAGTGTCTTCCATCCCTGAATAGACTTGTGTGGACCCATCTCAACAGCATAAACCCTCACTAGCACAGTACAACAGGGTAAACACCTGAAGTCTAACTTCAACTGTTTCAGCTGTGAAGTGGCAGAATTGTGATGCTTGACACAGCCCTGCCCTTTAAGCAGGCACATTTACCAGTCTGTGCCAGGGGCTTGAGGACTGGTGGCTCCATCTACACCACCTAGTCACCTGCTGCAGGAGCCCAAGAGTAAGTGGTGCCCCCAGGTCTTTACAGCAAACACAGTAGGGTGCTCATACTACAGCTGCAAAACTCACCTACTTACTCACTCTAGGGAATAGGGACACGCTTTCCTTTCAGACACTCAGGGGAAGCCATCAGCCCCCTGCCTTCCTCAGCTTGTGACCCCCTACTGCAGCCAGATACCTGTGCCTACACCAATCACCCATGCTTCTCTAAGACTGTAGGTGAGAGCCTGCACCACACACTTGATGACCGACTGCCTGGACACCTCAGCAGAATCCATACGGGAAAATTTGACGCACTCCTGGGTGCACATACTTAGTTACAGAGCTAACTACCTGGCGACAGGACGTTAGAGCTTCAAAGGTGCCAATAATCAAACCAGCACACACGAGAAGCCTATTTGGGCATATCAAAACAAAACAAAACAAGAAGCTAGGGGACACTAAACAAATATAAAATAGAATTATAATATCTTATTGATGGCTCAGAGACAACAGTCAATATCAAATCAAATAACGAGGCAGTTCATGATGGCTTCAGCAAGCTCCCAAAATAAAGACTCAATAAATTCTCAGGAAGAAGAGAATTTCTTGGAATTACCAGAGGCAGAATACAAAAGATTAATATACAGAACTCTTCTAGAAATTAGAAATTTGTTACAGTGTAGAGACAGCCAGAGAACATACAAAGTAGTAGTGGAATGTAAAAAAGTTATTCAAGAACATAATGACAAATTAAATAGGCTGCAATAATCCATAGAGAGCCAGCAATCAGAAATCCAGAGGATTAACAATAAAATTTCAGAATTAGACAACTCAACAGAAAGTCATAGGAGCAGAATTGAGGCCGTAGAAGTCAGAATTAGTGACATTGAAGATAAAGCACTTGACGCCAACTTATGTGACGAAAAATCAGATAAAAGAATTAAGAAACTCTAAGAGTTATGTGAGAATCTATCAAGAGAAATAACCTATGAGTGATTGGAGTACCAGAACGGGGGGGATAACATAAAATACAGAGAAAATTATTGAAGATTTGTTGACATAAAACTTCCCTGATACCATGATAGATGAGAAGATATATATCCAAGATGCTCATTGAACCCCACATAAGGCAGATCCCAAAAGAAAGTCATCAAGATGTACTATAATCAAACTTACAAAACCAAAAATAAAGAGAGAAATTGAAGAGCAGCTAGGGATAAAAGAAAAGTCATCTACAAAGGAGAGTCAGTTAGAATCAGGTTGGACTACTCAGCAGAAACCATGCAGGCAAGAAGGCAATGGGATGACATATATAAAGCATTGAAGGAAAACAACTGCCAGCCAAGAATTATATATCCAACAAAACTATCTCTCAAATATGATGGTGAAATTAGGGCATTTCCAGATAAACAGAACTTTAGGGAATTTGCAAAAACCAAACCAAAATTACAAGAAATACTAAAGGGAGTCCTACGTTAGAAAATCAATAACATCAGATAACAATGCAAGACTAGAACCAGGACAGACCAACCAGATATTGACTCAGATAGGGAAGTCGAAAACACATCAAAGCTAAAACACTGAAAATAGGGCAACACAGATATCAATATGTAAAAAAGGACAACATTAAAACAAAAAAGAGGAAATTAAAAAATGCAGAAATAGATTTTTCATATGGAGGGGATGTCAAGGCAATATAAAGAAATAAAAGACTGGTATAAACATAGAAAAATAGGGGTAAATATTCAGGTAACCAC